TTTCAGTTAGGTAAAACAGACACGGGTCTCCTGGTGATAACTCTAAGGCCTAGGACAAATAGTCTCCCCAGAGAGTTGTATATAAGTTAGAGTTGCATTTTTGTTTATTTTGAGCTGTCTTGTTAAGGAAGGATTTATACACTGGCGTTGATGTAGGACAGCAATCAGGCAGTGTTTTCTGCTTTGACAGTTGGTGTGATAGTTTGCTCCCAGTGAAGTTTGACTCACTGTATCTGGAAGCTGTCAGAAGTGGGAACATGAAAAGGTCATGACGGATGGCTTTGGATAAGTGGGTTAGGGAAGAGAGCTGGTAAAGGAGACAAATGGCCTCCCTTGTTTCCGAGGGAAGGAGCCACCCCTGGCCACTTCGGGCCAGCCTGCGTCCTCTCCTCCTCCTCACTGGCCAGGCCTGCTGGAGTGGAGCCTCCCAGTCACCGTCAGTCAGAGTGGCACCCATGTTTGCAGCCCTGTGGGTACCGGAGGACTGCTCGGGGGAGGTCATCTCCAGTTTAGGATCACTTCTCATCATTACCAATTACAGAATTTAACATAGTCCTTTCCTCTCTTGTTTTCAAAACTGGGAAAGGGTTCTGAATTCTAAAGTAGAATCCAGCCCCCACAAAAAAAGTCAGCTTTTAAAATGATGTTTGTTTTTATTTTGGTGAGATTTCCACTGACCAGAGTTGACTTAACCAGTGAAGCATATCCTTTTGACCTCTTTTCTATAAATATTTTCCCTGTCCTTTCACCTAGCATCATAAGAATTTTTCCAAATCAGAGCTTTTCTTATACATAATTTTTCATGGTTGTATTTTATTCCGACATGGTTGTCTTAACTAGTCCTCTGCTGTTGGCCATTTAAGTTAGAGAAATGTAAACCATCTTTCCCTTCTTTTCTTGGACATATATTTATCATTTGAATTACCTGTTAATCATGCATAAATGACACTTCAAGGAGTGCCTCTGCCTTTCCTTCAGAAGAAAGTGAAATTATTAGTCACTCAGTCATGTCCGACTGACTGTGTATGACCCCATGGACTGTAGCCCACCAGGCTCCTCTGTGCATGAGATTCTCCAGACAAGAATACTGGAGTGGGTTGGCATTTCCTGCTCTAGGGGATCTTCCCAACCCAGGAATCGAACCTGGGTCTCCTGACTGCAGGCTCATTCTTTACCAGCTGAGCCACCAAGGAAGCCCTTTTCTTCAGAGACTTGACACAAAAGCTTTAGCTAAGGAAATCAGAACCATGCTCAGTGGTTGACCGGAAGAACATTGGTAGAACTTCATGCTTCAGTTTGCCACGTATGAACAAAATTAAAGGTGTGCATTTATTGGCACATTTGACTATTATTTGTTCCTTGGTGAAAATGGAGAGAGAAGACCAAAGACTGGGTGAGGAGCATTGGGGTAGATCCCACACTCGGGACCTGGATGGCTCTGGATGTGAACACGGCTTTCCCACTTAAACGCTCCCCAGCCTTAGACCAGCGCCTCCCCTTCTCCTAGCACGGGTTATATACAGCACCTCGCCCAGTTCTGGCAGAATAACACTGAGGTGGAGAGGACATGTCCTGGAACCAGCTTACCTGGCTTTCTTCCCATTCCGGCTCTGCCCCTTGGCAGCTGTGTGAACTTGGGCAAGTGACGTCTCCTCCCCATAGTTTCGAGTTCCTCATCTATAAAATAGAGGAAAACACAGGAACCGACTTCATAAGCTGGTTGTGAGATTGGCATCAATGCACGCGAGGGGTTCCTACCCTTTCTGGCGCAGTTAATGCCTCACCACCCTTTGCCCCAGACCTGGCTTGTAGCACCAGCCTCCAAACTGCTCTCCTTTCCACCAGGCTGCCTTGTCCTTTCAGCTCCAGGCCGGCCCGGGAGGTCTGTTTGCTTCAGGCTGAATTTCGCAGTGGAGGCTGGGCGTGCCCAGGAAAGTGGGCTCCGATGGTGCTGCCGCTTGTCTGGCAGGAGCGAGCAGGGTCCTGTGAGGCCGTGTGCCCTGCTTTAAGAAGCCAGACTCACACACATCTCAAGGAGGGGGAGATTATTTAATGTACAAAAGGATTTTTCCCATCAGGAGAGATTCCCCTACAGGCTTCTTTAAATAGTGACTCCTCTAGGCAGGCGAGTGTTTTACAGATCATTAACTGCTTGACTGAAAGCCTGCAGGGCAGAGAAAGTTAAAACTAAAGTGTTGGGAGCCCCTGCCAATTACAGATCAATCCAAAATGAAGATAAAGTATCTCTGAAACTAGAAGTCACTGGGAAAATGTGATTTGATTCAGAAAAAATCTGATTTCCACGCAGCTGTTTTGAAATACACCGCTTGTTTCTATGGTGTTCCACCTGCCTGCCTGTCTTGATCCTAATACACTCAACTCCCACATCTTCATCCCCAAACCACAGACTTGGGGGTTCCCCTTGGTGAACGGTGACTGCACAATAACCCCAGGAAAAGGGTGTGTTTGGGAAAGTGTTCTCGTGGTGGAACAGAGCTTAGGCTACTGATGCTGAGATACAGCCCATAATGGATGAACTCTACAGGAACAATTTGCAGATAAAAATAATAGAAGTTAAAGTGTACTTTACATGATAAAAGAAAGATGAAAGAGGACGAGAGTCTGTTACATCTGAGATGGTTACAAAAGTCCTGCTTTGTGAAGTAGGCTCTGTTGAAAAGATTGATGCAATGGGGAGTGACCTTGGCTTGGAGCAGGAGCTGGTGATGTATGTATGCGCATCCCTCTGCTAAATGGACCCAGATTTGTAGCACTAATATACATGGGAGCCCAGAACCAAACTCAGTATGGCAATAAATCAACAGCCACTTTGGGTGTCATTTCTGGTTTATATTCCACTATTGTTCTATCACTTTAATTCATGTCACTATCATCTTTTCATCTGGAACAGTTTTATATAATTTTCCAGTGGAGTTACCTGACAAATCCTATCAAATTAACAAGCTACATTAACAATATTGACTGACTACGGCTTCAGGAGTTGCAGGGCCGTAGAACACAATTTTAAAACCGTGTCTTTCTGATGATGATCGTCCCCCTCCCTTTCTGAGAAAGGAATGTGGGGCAGGGTTTATTCCACAGAAGAGATATGCACATTTATTTTGCTCTGCTCGTTTTGATTTTTATAAATGTCAAAATAAGAAGCAGAGGAAGGTAGGGAGCGGGGGAGCCACTTAACTACCAACAACCATGGTGTAAGTACTTTTCTTCTTTCAGGGAACTATAGAAATGTCCAGATCTTTAACAATTAATGACCAAACTGGAGGGAAGAGTGTGACTGGGTAGTCGTAATCTATTTTAAGTGAAATGTAATAAAATCAGTCTCCTGATGCATTCTCACCCTCCTGAAATCATCTAGACCTGAACGTCCAGAGTCAATTGGGCTGATGACATTATGCCTAATTGAAATATGGCGTTCCTGAAAGATGCCTAATGACAAATTCCGGCATTCGATTAATTAAAAAAATACCAATTGCTCATCTTTTCCTAAGACCACACGGTGATGACTAGGGTTAAGCAGCTGAACTGCAGGGCCTCCTCTGGCAGGTAATGCTGTGCTGTAGTCTATCCAGCCTCCTGCCTTCGTCTGGATGCTATCTGGGGTTTCTTTATTCATAAAATAAAATGGAGGTGAGTGGAGCTCGTGGCACAACTCATCACTAGGATTTTGTGTTTCTGTTCTTCTTTAATTTTAAATTTGGCCTGACTGTGGTCATTGTGGTCTCTTGGTTTTTGTTTTTTAATGTAGCTATTTCTTTTATCTGCCTTATCTTTTGGCCTACCAAGTTTTCTCACATGATAATTTAAAATTCCTGAGCGTGATCCATAGGATGAAATATGTTAACTCCTGTTGTCTTTTCTGTTGCAGAATGTACATTTGGTGTTTTTAACGGTTTCTTATATCTTCATTTTGCTTGTTCTCACTTTGACCCTGACCTTGAAACTGTGGCCTAAAAATTAATTACTTTCAAGATTCCTTCTGGGGCCTACTCTGGAAGGATATTGAAGGGTTTCGTTTCACTTCATGAACAGATTCCTCGATTTTCAGTAAAAGGGAAAAGAGAGCTTCTAGCCTAGATGTCATGTGTCAGGCTGGGCACCGTCTGCTCGGAGATCCAGGGGAGCATTGCTGTGGTTTCCCAGGTGGTCCCGGGACACCCCGCCTCCCTGGTCTGTCGTGGTTCTCCCAGCAGCTTTGCTCCCGGTCACTGCGCAGTGTGTTATGTCTCTCAGGGCTCTGAAAATGAAACCTGAGTCCCCATAGTTAACATTCTGGTTCCCTGTTAGAAAGCCTTTGTTGCATAAAGTGCACACCCAGGGCTGTCTCCCTTAGCAGAGGAGCAGTACCTCCACAGCCTGAAGCCTTGCACTTAGAAGGTTTTATGTGAACCACCTTGTGGTCCTCCTGGGACTTCCTTTAAATATGCTGTGGACAGTTACTTAGTGTCAGAGAGTTCTTTAGCGAGAGAGAAACTTTTCCTGTGTTTAGTGTGGAAGATTTTTCCAGGTCAGAAGCTCTTCATTGGCAGCCTGACTGTTTAGGCATAGGTGATTCGACAGCTCTGTTTGCCCAACCCAGATCTTCTACAACAAAACACAGCAGAGACTGCTGATCGGAATTGTTTACATGAGCCTTACCTTACAGTTTATTTCGTTAACGATGTGTAGGTAAGCTCTGTATTATCTCTTTTCCAAGAAGGAAAGCTTCATAATACCTTCGTATATGGATTTTGGTTGCTGCCCCTCTCCCTACCCCGACCCCGGCTCACCCACCCAGGAGGCCAGACAGGCGGCTTCTCTGTGCCATTTGGAGTCTCCTTACATCTGTCTTAAGAAGCCCATGGTATTCCCCGAAGCCCTAAAGAGGGTTCATGCTCGTTCAGTTTAGGATTTACAAAACAGGTCGGGTGATTCCACTGAAATCGCTTACGCCTCTTACTTCTCGTGGTTTCTCTTCTGTCCTCCCCTCGGCCTTACAGGTATCTCTGGAGACAAAGTGGAGATAGACCCTGTTACGAGTCAGAAAGCCAGCACCAAGTTCTGGATTAAGCAGAAGCCCATCTCGATCGATTCTGACCTGCTCTGTGCCTGTGACCTTGCAGAAGAAAAAAGCCCCAGTGAGTAGTGCCTTTTATTTATGTCTCCTTTCTCTCTTCCCCCCGCTTCCCCTCTGTGTGCTGGGTGCCAGGAGAATATATTGCCACCATGTCCTTTTTTCCTTGGGTCTCTTTAATTCATTACCAGAAACTTCTTTTAATCAAATGGGATTGTGTTGTGGTACCCAGAGCCTGACACGGGCCTCTCTTCCGCTCAGTCTTGATGGCAGGAGAGAAGCTCACAGCAGCTCCTGACCTCAGTCCCCTCACCCCGCCACCCCCGATGGGGACTGGGAGCTGGGGGCAGCTTCCTGCCAGGAATCTGCACTCCCCAGAGCCCTCATTTCACTTTGTGCTCCCTTCCTCTGCCCGTCTTGGGGGCTAGACCAGTCAGACCCAGACCTGCCTGCCTTCCTGGCCAGATCGAGGAGAGCTGGAGAATTTCCCGTGGCAGCTGAAGACTAGATTTAGATATCCATCATGCCAGAGGTGTCAACACCCTCCGGATTATTGGCAGCTGCATGACCTACCAGCTCGTAATTAAACCCCTGCCTGGTGCTGTGGAAGAGATCACTGCTGGGCTGGCACGCCTCTGGTTAAATTACCAAAGTTGATACAGTCCAAGTGTATAGTGTAGCATATATATTTTTGCAGTTCAGTAATTGAGGATAGTGTTTAGATTAATCATTTTTAGGACTTCAGTCCCATGAAAAGACAGAAAGGACACAGATCACACTGATACTCTTCCACGGAAGAAAGGATTTGTTGTTTTGCCTGGAAAAGGCTATAAGACGCTGGTTCTCACCTGCAGATCCTATTTAGAACGTAGCCACCCAGCACACACCTCAGTAGCATAGCTTCCACCTCAGTAACTTGGAGCACCCAATTTGTGTTATTCTCCTTTATTCCGGTGTCTGCTAAATTGGGAACAAATACAAGGAACAGTAAGAAATCTAAAGGCCAGCAAGTGTCTGTAATGTGGCTCCAGTTTTTGAGATGAAACTGACTAAACAGGGACCTAAAGAACAAAACCTGGGCCTGTACTCCACCCGGCCTCATTTATGCAGGGGTGTTTAGTTTTGTTGAATCCAGCGGTACTACATGGTCTCCTCCTTTCAGCTCCTTAGCCTACAGCTGAGCAAGAAGGGGGGACGTAGTGGTGCGGGGAAAGGAGGAAGGCCATGCTCACCCCACCCCGCACTGTCCCACCATCCTGTCGTCCCAGTGAGGCCTCGATGGCCTGCAGAGACAGCATGGCTGCCAGAAGGAGTGGTGAAAAACCGCCTGCTGCTCTGGGGCCCTTGCCCAAAGGCCGCCAGATTCCCTCCTCCTTTAGATAAACATCTTTCTCCTAATCCCTCTCCCTGAGCTAGTCAGCCAATAAAGATGTCATCATTCTAGCATCTTTCTTCCCAAGAACTCAAGATGCTTTGAAAAGTAACATTTTATAAATGCTCCATGTCTCTGAGAAATGAGAGGCTGTCCACTTACATGTTACATAGGGGATTACGCTGGAGTGGAAAGGTTAGGGAAAGAGCTAGAAACAGGATTCAGATTTCCCTTATATTCCTACCGAGACACTGTGCGAGCCGGGTTGGGTTTCAGGCATCAGAAGGTAAAGGATGTAACACACCCAGCCTAGTAGGGAATAAAGCAGATGGACAGCCACACCCTCCTGTTGCCTCTTGAGGCCACTCAGCCAAGAAGTACTTCTCACACATCTCTGAGGGTGAGGCTAAGTTCCAAAGTCTTAGGGATCCAGAGCAGACCTGGGCCCCGCCATTTCAGTATTGACAGCCCAGCCAGAGTCTTTTGTCGTATGCTCAGACCTACCTACTGGATGGTTCTGTGTAAAAACTGCACGTGTAGGTCTTGCAGAGGTTCCCCCTCTCACTCGAGAACTGTCACCCTTTGTGAGCAGAGAGGCACACCGCCTGCCCCAGTAAAACACTTCCTGAATCCTTGTCTCCATCACAGCACTTCCAAACCATGTCCCTCTAAACTCTGGGTTCTCGGGGGACTGCCGGGGCCTGTGTGTGTGTCCATGTGTTTGTGTGTATATGTATGGGTGTGTGTGTGTAGGACAGAGTTGGGCATGAGGCTTCCCCTTCACCCAAAGGATTTTGCATTTAACTCCAACCAGTTTGAGGATTCTGCACTTGAAAAAGTCAATTGATAAAAAGGATTTTGCTGTTTAAAAAAAAAAAAAATATATATATATATATATATATATATATATATATATATATGAAAGTTGCAGGCTCTCAAAATGAAATTCAGACATTGACTATTTCAGACTCGTGGCCCATAATTTCCCATCCTGAATTTGGACTGTAGTCTCTGTGAACTACCAGCACACCTGGAATTTTGTGCTTCTGCTCTCCCCTCTGCCTGGAATACACCTGCACCCTGACCCTTTCCCTCATTTATGGACACCTCTGTTTCCTCACACCCGGCCCCCTCATTTGTCAAGATCCGGCTCCCAGCGTCAAGACTTTTTCTGTAATTCTGCCCCCTGGAGTTTGCGCACACCCCTGGTAAAGCACCTCACACACACTGTGTGTGTGTATTTGAGGTCTGACCCTCTCTCCTACCCCCATCTCCATGTTGAACTCACAGACCAGAGACTGGTTTCTGTAACCTTGTCCCCTAGCTCAGCACCTTCAGGGTTGTTCTCAGTGAATGTTTACTGTCATGAAATAGAACTTAATGAGGCCACAGTTTAGAAATCAAAAGTTGTTCAACATCATTTATATTGTAAAGTGCCTAAACAAAGATGTCTTCAGTGAATCAGCTTGATGCTGTTACTGTTTTATGATCTCCAGTATCTTCATCAAATTAATTCATTGTCTTAATCTAAAAAGTTCATCTTTAAAACCATCATCAGACCACAGAATTAATCTACCGGGCTTCTTCTTTTTTTTTAAAGGATTAATAGTAACCCTTTTTTATCTTCTGTGTCTGTTGAACCTCAGAAAAAAGTTATTTTAACAGCACTAAAGAAATGAAAGTCACTATATTTCATAAGTTTAGCCTGTGATTTTTATCAGCATAGTGATGTATGTTTGTAGCTGAGTTTACATCAAAAATTATTCTTGGGGCCTTCTTGAATGAATTATAGCAAAGAGAGAGAGTCTAGAAGTAGATAAGGTTTTTTGATTTCTGCAATATATTTCCTTTTTCATGTTTTTATCTCTTATAACACAAGTGTCTTGCCAAAGACTGGAACGTGTGACCAACTGGAATAATTTAGTTGTGAAAACAGAGCAGACGTGTTATTAAACAGCCCTCTTTACAAAAAGGCATTAAGTGTTGGGAGGATAATGAAGTTGTCCCCAGCCTTACTCGAGACATGTTTGTCAGAATTTTGAACAGAAAAGAAATGGTTTTTTAAAACCTTCGAACATGGCCAGTTTGCAGTGTTTATTGAGAAAGCTGCTGTCAAACCATTAATTTGGTCGTCATAAAGAACACAACTCAAGTTTAATTGATGCCGAATCCAAAATGTATGTGAATAGCTGACTTGGCAAAGGGAGTGAGCATTAAGAGCGCCTGCAGTGAAACACGTAATTACATACACCATGGAATCAGAAAGACCCCGGCTCTGAAGCCATCCTCCATAAATAGCCATTCTATGACTCTTTCCTTCCCTAACTTCTCCCTCTTTGGCCACGTTCTCACAGGGATGATTTATTACTCTGTCCTGTAAGTGTTTGAGACCTGGAACTTAATCACTAAATAGATACATGCCTTAAAAAAAAAAAATTGTACATGTAAATATGGGCTCTTAACAGAAATTAGTTGAGAGTAGCAGTGTGTCCACAGCCCTGAGAAATTAAAAATAAATTCTGCCTTTCTGGATTTTAAAAAACACTGTTTGCCACCATTATTATTCAAATCAGTGATGTCTAAGTCAGATTTTGCCACTCCTTAGGGTATCTTTTGCTATTTTGAAGGATGTCACTGACCTCTCAAAGATGAATTAATGTGAATTCATTTTAACTGAACTAAGATTTGTATACGGCATATAGAAGAATGTTTCCAACAGAAATAACCACAGTTGAATTGTCTCAGAAATAATTCTCCATCCTTATAAGGTCTAGACATAGCCTTTAAATGTGGTGGGCGCTCTTTTTAAGTCCTGGTTTCAAATTCCAACAGTGAAACAAAAGCAAGAACCCTTTCTGTGAAATTAGCACCCATCGGGGACTGTCAAGCTGTATTTAAATAAAGTACCAGACTCAAGGATGCCACGTCTGGTTTTATCATAAGAAGGTTGTGCAGGTTTAGAGTCTTTAAAGGAAGCAGCCTATCATTAAGAAATCAGATTTAAACTTTAATAAAGTAGCTGTCGTCTTTATAGCTGAAAAGAGCTCTGTATCTCAATTAAGTATAGATGATATAAAATCTTAAGGAAGCAACATAATAGGAGTAACCTGATTACGTTCTCTTGCAATAGTATAATTTAAAGGAAATCGGATTCCGTGGATGCTGGTTGTATTGGGGGGTGGGTGGGGGGATTGTTTGTTTGGTTTTTTGGGGGGGCGGGGGATGGGTTCAAAACACTGTTTGGATCCAGGGCAGGAACTCTTTGAGATTGTGAGTTAACCACAACTGCAGGAGACTGTTAAGCCCTGGTGAATAGAACCTGCTGGATATTTGAGCTGAGATTCAGTTAAGGTTTTGAGTTAAATTTGCTGGGTTTATTGGTGACCTCCCACTTAAATGAATCTTTCTTTTCATAAGTACTTGACAAGATCTGTAAAGTAGTGTATTTAATTTACTAATTAAATTAAAGCTACTGAATAATGATTTGTCCACATTGATTTGGCTTAAATAGGAAAGATCAGCATTGTTGTGATCTTCAGCAACCTTAATAGCCGAGCCAGTTAGACACAAAGGCCTCTTGTGTTTTATAGGTCAGGAGTACATAGGTAAGCCCTGGCTATAATTGAATTGCCTGCACTGCACCCTGCCGTTGCAGATTTCCTCTGCCTCCCTGTTCCATTGTTGCACCGGGG